TTTTGAGAATTTTGTCAAGTATGTAATCATACCAGGGTTCAAGATTAGCACGATTTGTCGGAGTTTTCATTTCGACAATTGCGCTAATTTTCTCAGGATCAGGTTTCAGTCCATCAGCACTGACTGAAATATTTGACTTCTGTTAGACTTATTTTCAGTTTGTCAGGGTAAAATCGTAAACCGACTGTTTTTGCTCGATCGACTACGTTCTTAAGGGTTCTGTCATGTTCCATACACTAATAAGTCATCCATTATTTACGTCACACCCTGTAAACTTTCAAATGTCTCCTCAATTTTATGTTGTAACATTTCTTGAGAACTTCTTATGCTCATAGGAAGTCTTATTTGTACCGTCCAAATACTGTGTTAAATGTCGCGAGTGACGATGAGTGGCCGTCTAATTAAATTGACCAGCGACCTTTGGTCGCGTTAAATACACTGAAGTATTTAGCCCCATGCAATTTTGACGTTATGTCGTCAATAGAACTAATGAATAATACGGCCTTTGTATACCTTTCATTCAATGCTTTGGGGTCAAAACAGATTCTAAAGTTATCGATTGAAGGTTTTTCAACTTATACTAGTAAATTTACCCAGTTTTTAGGTTCTGTAAGAACTTACAAATAATTTGTTTTGACTCCTTTGAGTCGAGCTCTTTCTTTAAGCTATATCTCTGAGTCCCAAACGGTACTTTTCCAGGTGGACAAACAACAGGTACAGCATTTTCCTTCACATGCAATGAACATGTTCCAGGAAATAACCCTATCCCATGAAACAATTCTTTGATCTCTCTAAGTACAGTGTCCTTACTAAGGTCAGATACACCAATACTACTATTTTAAGAATTCAGTTGACTTATTGACCGACGATTATAAGTCAAAACTTACCTGCAAAAAGTCAGTAAATGATCGTTAATATTTCAATATATAATAAAATAAAATGTTTCAAAGTTGATAGTGTCATTTAAATACTATAAAGGTGTACCCTTTTTCTCAATTATTGTACATATTTATTGTTTTTATCTCATATAGTTAAATAAAACAATCATGCTTTTTTCAAATTGTATGTTTATGTAGAATAATAATCAATAAATTTGAGAGTTGATCTGTGTTTATTGTTAATTATTGTAACCAAACTAAGTGACAAAAATTCATTTTGAAAAAAAGCTTATTTATCTGTAAAATATTTTTTTCTGTTCTGTCACGATATCAAACATCTACTCCACAACCGGCAGATACCTGACAATAAACATGTGGTACTATTCGCCGGTCACTAGTAAATCCCGATCAAAATTGACCAGGAGAGACCGGGAATTACCTGTAGGAGTACATATATAAATAGATTTTCGGAATATTAGGCCATCAACTTATCATTTTATTCAGCTTTCGGATACATGTACAACAATAACATACCTAAATAACCACTGTGCACTACAAAATGATAAATAAAAATGCCCCGAAGAGCGCGATTTATTGACGGAAAAGGTTATTTCATTTGAAAATGTTTGCATTGCGGAATTTTCCAGTTCGCTATTCAATGTATATATCGCGGCATTTAATTTTTTATTAATTATCAAACACCCTCATACCGATAAAATATCGGCTTATGTCCGACTTAAAAGTTCGAGAAGTTGCTGTCGCCCTTTCGCAAAATCTGATTTCATTCCATAAGTGGCGCCGCGCTTCGGCGCAGACGCCAATCAGCTGTCTACAAAATTGTGAATGGGGACATTTTGGTGTTAAAATGCATTAATTTATCATTTCATGTGCTTGAGAGTGGTGACCTTTTCCGTATAAAATATCAAACAAAAACATATAAGGTGTGCCAACAAATGACATCTATAATTAAAAGTACCATAAGAAATTTACTTTTTTTATGAATATTTTTTAATAAAAAAAGGATTTCATGTTTCTTTTAACGATTTATACATAAACCGCTAGTATGTAACAGAAAAGTGCAGAATTCTTATAAAACGACAATACAAATAAATTATTGTAAAGACCCATTATAATGAAATGCAAAGCTAAACACTCGGAAAAAAGACAAATTTTGAAGATTATTGTTTTGTTTACAAAATGCATATTCAATATATGTTTCAAGAGTTTACGAATATTTTATTATATGTTTCATGACATTAGATCATAAACACAATAAATATCATATCGATTACGTTGTTACTTGAAAAGAATTACAGTGCAATATGATACAATGATGTTCTGATTTTAAACATTAGTGATAACATAATTTTTTTTCTTGTGTAATGTATTGTACCTAACAAAGCATAAAAATTATTAAGATAAAAACGTATTATCTGACATATTTAATCATTAATTCCCATTGTTACAATATCAGTCTGTAAACAAAACTGCAGAATGTGTGACCGTTATAGTCTGTATATTTTAACACAAAATCGTTAATGCTTATTGTTACATTAGCAATCTGTTATCTTTATATAGTACGGTCCTACAAAAAACATTATGGTAAAGGGGGGCTGCTAAAAACACATTTATTACGTCTACTTAGCGTTCGATGGTTGTGTCCTCAACTCACTAGGACTATAAACTCTGACAGTGCAAAAAGGTATAATCATCAATGAACAAAATAAGATAATACAAACGTAATAAATGTCAGTGACATTTCCTTTTGCTCACAGTGGTTTTAGATTAACTTTTGCCTTCAGTGTGCATTTGTGTGTGTCTGTTTTGGTTGAATTCAAATCCACAGTTAATACCATAAGGCTATTCTCCAGCTTTACTACGGGAGGAAAAAATATCCGTATATTATATCAGGCACCAGGCTGGTCTGGAGCCATGTTGGTCGCAAATGCACTATGCTGGTTTTGTCGTGACGTGGCTCAAACTATTCATGAAATATATCTAAGTTATTGTTAACTATATATTAAACTTTGTCCATTTTATTTTAGAATAAGTGACCGATATCCAAGAAAGCATGCTCCATATACATTATCTATATAGAGCTTGTTTAAATGACGTGACCAATATATAAGAATGTTTATCATGCCATCAAATTGACTTCTGTTGATAAAGAACATGTCTTTATCAGTCACCTTCAGCTTCATTAGACATCTCAACAATACATATCGAAATATAACGATTATAATAGTATATTTCTACATCTGACCAGTTTGAAATTTTAAATTGATAAACGTTGAATCAAACAGAATTTATGAGTATTATCGTCCCTTTTAAAATAGACAAAAAACATTTTGGACTATTTCTTATAGATATGATTCTTGTAATATTACTGCGCGTGTCATGAACTCGAGTGGTTCTTGACAGGTTTTCGCTTCTTTTGAAATTCTAAGAAAGAAACACATACTAAAATTGAAAACATCCTTAAATTGAATACAAAAAAGTGTCTCATATAAAATTAATCAGGATCATCACTAACAAAGTGAAGGGCTCGGCAGATCCTAGCCATCCTCGCCCTTCTTTTTTCTTAGCTTTTCCTAATAAGATACACTATCACGGTATTCTCTTGTTATAAACAGTATATAAAGCTGTGTCTATCATATATAAAAAATGACCTGCTTTACACATAGAGGACCCGGACCGTATTATATTTCAGAAAATTAGACCAGTTTTCAAGATCGTGTAAACCTTTTACAAGAAAATATTTCAGAATAAGTGGCCTAAATTAATAATTATTATCCATAAACCGGGATTTACAAAACCCCAAAAGGACCGCCTTTGGCATACACTTCATCTAAAATTGTGTCATAATAAATGATACATGTCATAATAAGTGACCCATATTTAAGAATGTTTGAAATAGATAGGAGGAAAATGTATCAATTATACAACAAAATGTTTGTTAAATATAATTTAGTTTAAACAAATTTTTTGTATATATATACATACATAATTTTTCACAATTATACATAAATACATTTATGTAAATATACAAAAGGGTTGGGCCAAAAGTTATAACAACATTATCGGGGCCCTCCCCTGAAATACTGACTGCCATGTTATTTAAAAATAGATGTGAAAAAGACATATGTAAAGTATGATTAATTAAATTGAAATCTAAGAAAAAAATAATTAGAAAAAGTAAATAAATACATTTTCTGATATTTGAAAAACCACGCCGCCAGTTGACAATAGCCTAACAATTTGTATAGAATCATAGAAACAATGTATAAAAGGAAATCAAATGTTATAACACAATCTAAACCTTTTCGTTACTTCAATAAAATGATGAACATGCTGAAATAAAAGCATGTTTTGAGAATTTTTTAAAGTAGTTATACCAAAAAGTAACTTTTGCGTACTAAGGGGATGAAATTCAGACTTGTATTTCTAAAATGATCTATCCTCTGATGATTATATTTTTGGCATTGAAATAAAAAAGATATTCAGCGTCCTCTATTAAAGCACCGCATTCACAAGAATATAATTGTTATATAAGTCAGAGTTTAAATTACTGCAATTATTCCTAAGACGTGTATGGTATACTGTTGGTGAACGCTCACCGTTTATACATTAAAATAAGACGGAACAATGGGAGGTTTATAAATATCTTTCAATTTTCTTTTAAAGTTTCCTTACCGGTCATATTCTATATATTTATTGATAATTCATTCCAAAGCTGTATTGATGATGGTATAACTGATTTTGAATAAACTTCAGTTCTCCTTGTCATAGTAACATAATTGATGTTATTTCTTAAATAATACTGGTTTTCAATTACATTTTCTACTAAAGGGGGAAATAACTGTGATAAATATAATGACATTAAATATAATGTTAAATATAACTGACACTTGCTAGCATGAAAATACCTAAAATTGTCGTTATGATTTCCATAACATACAGACTTCTCTAGGTTTGAAAATCACTGATTACTCTCAAAGTAAAAAAAATATCATTAGTAGAACATATAGTGCTTGGTATTTAAATGTTTATGATAACAAACTTTGCATAAAACTATTTATATTTTTATTACACCATTTCATATGAAAGATATTTTTATTACACCATTTCATATGAAAGACGTGCTTTTACACAAAATGACTGATGTCCGGAATATTAACAATTGCGGCGCTGAAATGACGTCATTTTTAAGCACGCGACTCTTCTTAAGATGACATTTTCTAGCAACGATGGAAACACTTGGAAAACTATTTCGATATGAAAGAATGTATCTACCTCGTATATGCAGCACTTTTCACTATAAATAAAAATCAGTGTTTGGTTTAGATAGTGAAAGGTTTCTTCACTATTCATCATAATCGTCATATTGGTCGTCTTGGTAATCATGTACATCGTCATATTGGTCGTCTTGGTTGTCATTTACATCATCATCATAATCATTCCAGTCATGAACATCATCGTCATAATCTTGATCATATTCATGATAATCGTTGTAATCATCATGCTCGTATTCCTCCGTATCGTCGTCATAGGGATCATAATAATCATAGTTATCATCATATATTTCCTCGTCGTCATCAGAATATCCGTAATTGCCATCAAAATCCTTGAGATTTCATGACAATGACTTTTTCCTTAATTTTCTCGAACGGTTGGTTCTTTATTGTATCTATTTCGTTCTTCAAGTCAGACAAATTACAAACCGCTCCTAAGCGCAGCATTGCCTGTAATGACACCAAATAGAGAATTGAAATGATTCCCCCATTTTATCAAAGAATACTACAATACTATTATATACTGACTCATTTATGAGCGTATTTTTGACTACGTGGTCTATATATATATATATATATATATATATATATATATATATATATATATATATATATATATATATATATATATATATATATATATATATATATATATATATATATATATATATATATATATATATATATATCGTAAAAACGAATAAGAACTACATGATAGTTCAGCATTTTGTCTAATTACCTTTTCAGTAATGTCCCACTTTTCTTCAAAGTCCTTTTGATCCATAATTGCTGTTTGTAGATGATTAATCTAAAAGGAAAAGCAAATTTCATAAACACCATTGTTTATCTTTTTTGTTACCATATAAACCAAAATCCACAGACACTTGGGGTTTGGAGCTCAAAACGCCTTTAAAATCCAAATAAAATGCATATTTGTCAATCCCAGCACATGTACTGATCATATATATCAAAAAACTTAATATAAGCCGTTTTGAAAAAAAATCATATTTCAACATCTATAATAATACAAAAGATAAAAATGTTCGCCGGAAAAAATCCGCACCCATAGCCGACTGTCCCGTTTGAATTTATCGAAAGATTTTGTCAATGGAGAAAAACGGCGATAATCTTGATGTTTATTTCGGCTGTTGCATTGTTTATATTACCGTTGAAGTTTAAAATTGACCATCATCGTGAAGAATTATATCTTCTGTGTCGACGGACCAAAGGATTATGTGAAAATATTGGAAATGGAATAAAATACATGGTGATTATGACGGTAGGGTGCGGATTTTTTCTGGCGAGCATTTTTATCTTTTGTATTATTATAGATGTTGAAATATGAATTTTTTTCAAAACGGCTTATATTAAGTTTTTTTAGATTTATGATCAGTACATGTGCTGGGATTGACAAATATGCATTTTATTTGGATTTTAAAGGCGTTTTGAGCTCCAAACCCCAAGTGTCTGTGCCAAAATCGAATATCAAAGCATTTAAAAATAAATGTTTCTGACATAAAATGCAAGCTTATATAACTTTATCACAATTTATTTGTGCTGAACGACTAACACTTTAGAAAATAAACATTCTACCTCGTTTCTAACATTTCGAATCCGTACAATATCTGCAATTTCCCCAACTTCAGTTTCGGGTATATTCTTGTTATCTTTTTCAGCCCACCATTTACATTTGCCGTCGAGTCCGCAAATATGCTTCAACAAATATACCAATAAAGTGATATCGAACTTTTCTGAGCTCGGAGGACCAGATTTTGGGAAAAGCAAATCATACTGCTTCTGGCTGATCAGCTTTTTACTTCTGCCATTGTTTATTTTCTTTGTGAATTTGTTTATCTCTTGGTGAAGTTGTGGTCCTGGTGGGACAGTGAGGTCAAACCTAGCTTTTAGAACACGGGTTGAAAGTTTGACAACCACCAAGTTAAGCCGAACATAGTTTTGTTCTTTTTGTTTGTCGTCTATGTCCTTTGCCACGGAGGATGCCATCAATACATCTAGTTCCTTCCTTTCTCTACTGTATCATTGAAATGTTAAATGTTACTAAAATGACTTCTATATGTTTATTGGACATTTGTTTATCTGAAAAAGTTGACTCTTATATTATTATTATTATTAAAAGGTTTATATCTAAAGACAGGATTATTGTATGGAAAATCAGATAGTCAATTGATTAAATATTCATTTGACTATATATTTCTTGTATTTCATAAAATCTGCCAAAGGTGGTTTTAAAAGACCAAGTGAAGATATATTTTATAGATATACAATTTGAAATATCATTTTAATCATTTTTGAAAACTGTAATATGAACAGTTATCATTACGTTTTATTTACTTTAGTTAGTTATCTTTTAAGCGTTCGAAATAACCTTGATAAATTTAATCGAACCTATAAAATCCCAAACATGTATTTAATGAAAAACTGAAAGTGATATCACCGTGTATATCCAGTAACACAGGAATGTGCAAATAACGCAGGAATTGTGCAAAAGTAACGCAGAATTGTGTAATTAAGTGGCTAAAACGAGCACCGCGATAAGTAAATGGACCAATATTGTTTACCGTACATCAAATTGGAAGAAATGAATTAGCGCATACGGTTGCTGAGACATTAAACTTTAAATCTAATCAAAAACATTTTCATGGAAATGTTACTTTTTCAATATCATTCGTGAAAATGACGACCTGAATAGCGTATTGATTGCGATTTTTAGTTTCGTTGATATCTTTAAATACAATAACGTACATATTACTTTATGATTTATTCGGTGAACCTGAGACATTTTCCAATCTACTTGTGTCATATTACACTTAATTTAGCAGATAAAACGTAATTGAGACCATTTTTACGAGGTAACGCAGAATTCGTGAATGAAGCACTGAAGCAGCAGCGGTTATTTCATGAAAAGCAGCTAAATCTTGTTTAACCTGCTTCCTTGTTTTGTTATACGACACTTCTACTTTGACAAATGTCTTACGTATATAGAATACGAAAAAATAATGTTTTAATTTTGCTAATTGTACATATTTATTTATTTGACGAAACACAAAATGCACCTTCAAAACGGTAATCAAGTTGTCTTTCTCACGAATGATCAAAGGAAGTAAATATATTTCTAAAAAAATGTAATGCTGGGTTAAGTATAATTTCTTTAAACTTGATTTAGAATATAATATTCGGTTCGTTTTCTTACTGTGTTATTCGTTTTGGCAATAGCGTTGAACAAGTTTGGCGTTACTTTTACGTTATTTGCACTTTCCTGCGTTACTGGATATGCATGGTGGATACATTCATCTGAAAACGTAATCTGTACACTTTGATACGCATGCATTCGCTTTAATTACCACTTCTTGTTTCGTTTTGTTCTTAATATTTGTACTTTGTTTCAATTTTTAGACCAAAGAAAACAAAACTCAAATAGACTTCAGCGTTTTTATTTTAGATGCTATTTGAATACATTATCGAAATTAAAACAAATATTAGCATTCTTAACTTACTTGATATTTTCATCCTCTATGTATTTATTTCCGGATTGTATTAAAAGCTTAACATTTACATTTAAATCAAAGAGCCAACATTTAAAAACTGTTTTTTTTTAAATAGAAAAGTTTAAGTGATTTTCCGGAAACGCATACATTGGATAATATTGCGTAAAAGGTCAACCTAGTCTAATTGTATACATCAAGAGATAAAATTTATCTTTTTACTACCGGGGTCAGGGAAGTAAAAAAAAATTATGCTTGGGTTAACATTAAGGTTGAAATATGAATATGTTTGTTTTAAGTTTTCTAAACTTTTATACGGAAGCCAAATGGCGACGTTAAATTTGGTATTGGACAAGGTGGTACCCATCCATACACATAAATGTCAAAGGATAAGTACAACCCTTCCAAATACCATTCTGGTGATGGTGGTGGTAGAAGTAGTAGTAGTAGTTTTTAATATTGTATCATAGTTTGGGTACCTTTCTGTTGAAAAAGTGTCAGAGTTAAATCGTATACATATACATGCACAGTGCGGTAACTGGAGTGCGGGTATCAGTTACCCGCACTCCAGATAATGCCCGTGGATTGGTTCATTTTTGCCGGGGTTTACATATTGTGACGACAGAGAAAGGGAAAGGGGCAGAACTATCATATTCAAATGCTCGTTCAGTGGTTAATTTTTTCTGGGGTTTCATATTATGACAACAGGAAACGTGCTGTCATGTTTGACTATGATACAAAAGAGAAAGAACACCAAAACACTCGGCAATCTGATTTATACTCGGGGGCTACGCCCCCTCGTACAAATCAGACAGCCTCGTGTTTCGGTGCTCTTTCTATTACTTATTTAATGTACAGAAGGTAACACTATAAGACATATACATACTGTAAACATTTTTTACAAACTTGTGTTCCAAACTGTGTGCTTTTTTGTTGATCTCTCATTTTCTTCATTTCGTGTTTAAATGCTTGAAATTATCAATTTGCATAATACCTGTAGTAGTTGCCTTAATGTTCGACCTGTAAATATATTAATTAATTATTAATCTTTCAAATTTTATGATAATTATGCTACATATATATTGTAATGTATTATCATTTATCTTTTCTGTGTATCGACGTAGAACCTACCTAATAGATTTTGAATACGCCTAAGTTTTAACCTTGATATATAGAAAAATGTATTGTTTAAGATAAGGCGCAACTTTAACTTACTTTCGCAACTTCTTAAATTGGCAGAGAGTTTACTCACCTGAGAAAGTTGGCTTTAGCTGCCATGCTAAATCTTATTAACACCAGGAAAAAATAAGACATCCTACCAGGAAAAATAAGGCATCCTACCAGGAAAAATAAGGCATCCTACCAGGAAAAATAAGGCATCCTACCAGGAAAAAGAGGCATCCTACCAGGAAAAATAAGGCATCCTATCAGGAAAAATAAGACATCCTACCAGGAAAAATAAGGCATCCTACCTGGAAAAATAAGACATCCTACCAGATGAAAATGTGAAGTTTGTGGATCATGAGGTATTTCTTACAAAAAACCACCTACCAAAGGACAAGATAACATTTGTTTTTGTTATCCCAATATGAGGTTAATCGGAAATGATAAATAAGCAGTTTCTCACGCTTATATTTACGATATTGCGAAAATGTTGTTAGAGATGGAATATAAAGCGCTTTTTTAAGTGATGTTATAAATGTTTGTCTCTACAAGATGATACTTCTTTTCAACAAATTCAAAGAATTAACAACTTTAAATAATAATGCAGATAACGAAAAGTTTAAATGTGTATTTAAGATTTATGGTATTAAAGAGCTAAATATCGTAATGATATTGTTTTGGCTAAACATGTAAGAGAATATAAAAAAAGTTTGTAACTGTAACACTCACGAAGCATAACGTTTGACTTAGGTAAGAATCTCTAAAAATAAAAGAAACTATAATATCGGGATATCAAATGGTTAAACTGCTTCTATTGGCAATTTACCCAAGGTTGATAATCATGATGCTTCCAAAAAGTAATTTGTATTTCTTTGACCATAGCCATATGACTAAAATTGTGCGGAAACGGGAGGGTCGGGGCTATGACCCTTTGCAAAGAACAATCAAAGGATGTATCAGGGTGGCGTACGGACAATTGTGCTAGTTTACGTATAAATACTTTAATTTAAAGTTCACGATGACATCGGGCGGCCTTGTTTCTTTGGTGACTACACTTCATTCATTGTTGTCAACAAGAATCTCCGAACTATTGCACTATTAACTCTGCAAAGAGCCCGGACCAAGAATAATTCAACGGTTACCTACAGAAAATGGTGCTTTTTATGAAAGTTCATAGAGTCAAAAGTAACAATAAAAACCAGCACAGTCAAACGTCCATTTAAAACAGTACCTCAGGTTCGCAGAAAGAATACCAACTACCTATTTCTGTATTAATTCAGTACAACAAAAGACAGACTATTTTGTTTGTACTGTTCTCTGGTGTTTCACAAACAACACATGCAAATCTTGTATAGAATGTTTGGATTCGTTTATAAGCCCTATTCATTTTCAGTGTTTTTCCAGAATACTGGTATCCTGAACTATACTTTTTTGCCTCTTTCCCGAAAATATTCCATTAGGTGCCAGTTTGTTATGTTTGTTTCTCTTTTGTTGGTTATAGATCTTATATTTTATCAGTGTTAACACTTGAATGTAAATACTGAAAATTATTTATACTTTCTTTAACTTATCATTCTTACATTGTTTTTCCGTTTACAACTGACTTTTCAGTGATTACTATCAGAGTTTATTACTTTGCAAATTATTGTAAACAGTCTTGATTAAAGCCTTTTAATGCTTGTTACACGTGTTACAGTAATATGCAACATTAGTTTTTATCATGGAAACACTTCATAGCTTGCAATTAAACGTTTATTATCTTACCAGAAGTTCCAGTCAATTAGACTTTCTTCTTAAAACCGATCTTAAAGTCGCTTCTTGCAGGAGAAAAAATCCCTGCAAATATATAAGGAGGAAATAAATCTATTGCAACTGTGCAAATATTTGATAGCATTTATTTAAAAGTATTGGTTATATAACGAAAATTGATGACATAACATTTCAATGACTTATTTGCTCTTGAGAAGCCAATATCGGAAACTTTTCTATAGATTCCTACTATTAAGAGACAACTTCTGTGTTATTTTAATAGCATCAATCTATTCCGATAATTTATATGGTTGATGTTATTTATAAAATTATAACGAATTAATGCATTGTTATTTTTTTCTGATGTGTTTAGTTAATTGATGGTTATTATAGAGGGATTGGATCTCTTTTTTAAATTCAAGCCGTCTATAAAATCTAAAAAAAAATAACAATAAGTAGTATTTCACTGAAATGTCAACAATAATAAAATCTAGATTAAAACTAAAGTAACAAAATTATAAATTATGAATACTTTTTGCATAAACTTTAAATAAAATGACTATTCTCACCGATTTTTTCCCTGTTTTCCATGAAACATGTCTGACAGCAACATAACTGATAACATTATTATTTAAACTTGAGTTAAACTCTTTTTCTAATCTCAGGAAAAAGATAAAATTCGATGATTTTTCACACCTTTTTTAAGAAACATGTCAATGGAGTTTTGAAATGAGTTTGCGGCACGCTAAATCAATATTGGCTGGTGATCTCTAACGATGATGTACGGGAAAACAAAGAAATAAGATGCACTTGCAATGCCAATTAATGCTGGACAAAAAGCGGGTTTATAGAATATTCTTGGCGACAACACCAGAAAACTAAATGATACCGTAATTTATCAATCTTTTTCCCAACCAATGTCGAATCTTACGTTTGATATGTGGTATGTGAGATGGGATTAATTATCTTAAAGTTTAGGATAAACAATAAAAGTTCTAAGAAATACTTCGCATACTCTTAAAATTTGTAATTTTGTTTATACCATTTGAAATGAGAATGTAGCCTTAGTCTTACATTACGGCGTCTTGAACTATAAATGATAAGCATTCCTTCTGAATGTCGGGCATTGACACAAACGGATATCCTGAATTTAATCTCTAGGTATGTTTGTTCTTCAGAACATTCAGGCATTTGCTTTTGGTAATATGCAAAACCCTCAAAATCCTGTAAGAGTATCGGAACCTGTTTTACTACATACAAAAATGCGCAAAGCGACAATTTGATAACGTCATATTGAATTGCTCCGAGAAAGAGAAAAGTTACGCAGATCTTTTGAACTTTTGAATTGGTAAGACACCATGATGTGCTTAGTTTAATAATGTGAAAAGAAAGAAGAAATGTTTTGCCTAAATTGATGTCTTTGTTTTTTGTATTTTTTTGTATTATGATATAATATAAAATATTGTGTATATCCATGCCAATATACAGTTTCTGTTTGGCATGCCAGATCATTTACACAATTTAGAATTGAACCGCTCTGGTTTAAACGTATATAGATGATAGCATGAAATAAACTAATTGTACTTTTTTTTTGGTTTCACAAATTGGAAATCTCGTTAATAAATTGTGTTTTATAGCGTTGTTTTTATCTAACTTGAAAATGCCCAAAGCTCAGACCGCACCAACTTAATACACATCTGCTCGTTGTACGGCGAAACTAAATTAGTTTACATCACATATTTTGATATTGTTCTATATTTCTTTTGTTTAATATTAATTATGTCTTCTTCTGTTCTGTCTTGATATCATTTCAGTGATTCTTCATCTTTACCTTTGTGAACTTCTTGGGATTAGAAAACTAAAATATAAAATAAACCACTTGTGAAGTAAACGATATTCACATGATAGAAGGCGGCTTAATGTGAAGTAATATGTCATAAAAGCAGCAAAATGTAAACAAAAGTGCATGTGACTTCCATACAAAATCACTATAAATGTACTATTTAAGTTACTGCCAAAAAGCAACAGAAGATGAAAACATTTCAGATAAATGGCCAGAGTAATTTGATGCAAACACCAAATGTAAAAAGATTTTGTGAAGAAAAAAAGAAAGCGTTTCTGGGGCATAATGATTCTTTAAATGAAGACATCATGATAAATAATTTGTCAAATTTCTGTGCACCTAGACACAGCAAAGGCTTTTATTGTAAATATCGAAAATGTAGA